ATCAAGGACTGTAACTTTTCAGATAAAGAAACTTGTTCTTGTTTTAAGTCTATGCCAGGTTCATTCCCCTATAGCCCACGGTTTTCAAAAGCAGAAGAAAAAGTAATCCAGAATTAAAAAAATAAAATCCCTCTGTTTCCAGAACGAAGTTACCCTGTCAGCTTGCCTTGGGCCTAAGGTGGAGAAGTGGAGATTAAAGAGTCAGTATTCCTTTTCATGTTTCGTCTGCCAGTTTTGTGAATGTAGAAAGAGTACTTGTGGCTGCAGCTAAGTATGCGACTATGGTATTAAGTATGGCATTTTCATGCAGTAAATTAAAAATATTCTCATAAGTTTATCACAAGGGGAATTCAGTATCAATACCATCCAGTCATTGGTAAAGGTATTTCAAGGAGAAGGGTGAATAGCACTGCAGATGTAACCTCAATATTTTCACTAATTAGAAAGAGCCTCTTTGTGAAGCTGTGTGAATATGTAAGATGATCTCATCATTTCCTATTTACTCAATACTTACCTGAATACGCAATATAGTGTAGCTTTTAAATGCATATGCACATGAGTAAAATGTCCTTTTGTAAGAGACTTCGCTAAAAGACTGCTTTTGATGCACAGTTTCTTCATCTGCTCTTCAAACTGAATTAAGCTACTTCCTTCTTTTAAAACACAACTCACTATTTAGAAGCTTTGGCTTTGATTTCTCGGAACAGCCTTACAGGAAGAAACTATGTTCTTCTTCTTTTTGTAACCATATTTCTGAAGACAAACTTGTACTGATTTATTTTGATTTTCTAACAGAAATAGGTTCCTGCAAAGAACACTGACTGTTTCTTCTTCTCCCCCCTCCTTCACTCCACTGCTACAAGAATATTGCTGTGTGCAAAGCTACCAAGGAAAACTGAAATCCCTCTGTTGGGAACTGTGTACATAGCAATATATTCATACTTTAAGAAATAAGTGAGTTTGGTTTTTTTTTTAGTTCTTAGCATGACATACTGTGCACTTCTTGCATGCTAACCACTGAATTCAAATTGAGTAACTAGGTAACTTTTCAGCAAATTTTAGTCAAGTTTAGCATCCACCATTTTAGGGAATATATCTGTTCAGCTGACATAAAGGTCACCAGTTTTAAAACATTAACCCTCAGTTATTCCCTTTGATAAAAGAGTTTATATATATATATATGTGTATGCATATAAATATATTTGTCATCCTATTCCTAGTATTTAAGATCTGTTTCTTTCTCCTGTTCACAGTTAGACTCATTGTAAAGATTGTTCCTGATGGCTATTAAGCTGAAATCCAGTGTTAGAAAGATTTCTCTGTATTTCCACATAATATGACTTAGTAACAAGGCCTTTTTTTCCCCTCTTTCTTTTAAACGTGTAACTCGCATGAACGTTTTGGAGACTTATGCATTGATCAGCAGAAGAAACTAAGCGTGTAAGAGAAGTCACTTGCCCTGCTATTCTTGGAAATGGACTGGTACACCCAGTCCTGCATAATCCCATGTAACTGGAGTCACATGAGCCATCCCACCAATGTGGTCACAAGCCTCACCTTCCCCCATACTGCATTGGCTGCCGGACTGCATAGTCCATTGTACAATACAAACAGAAATTTAAAACTCTTTGCATTTCTCAAGGTACAAAAATAGAACTGAACCCTGATTCTCGGTAAGGTGTTTGCCTTAATTGCAGTCTGAATAAGTTCAGGATGTGGTCCACATGGCCTTACTTCTTCAGATGTTATGCTAAGATGAAATGAGTGGTCTGTTGCTAGTAACAAAACATAACTTCACAGACAGAGCTTAGGGTAGACTTAATCTTTGCTTTCATTTCTTCTCAAAATCAGTAACTTCGTTAATGGACTCCCTGTCCCTGCAAACTGAAGATCCTCAGAATGAAACTGGTCTTTACTCAGTAACACTAAGTTGTCGATAAACCAGGTAGATTTCCCTACCTGGTGTGTCCTTCTAGTTGCTTGTTTCCTCAAAATTATCATCTAATTTCCAACTTTTGGCTTGGCAATGCCAACATTTAAAAAATACTGTAAATTACAGAACTTTTCAATTTTTTTTATTCTTTCATCACACTAAAAAGTTTTTTCCCAAGCTATAGTATGAGCTCTCAGAACTGGCTTGGGGGTGCCTAGTGTACTCTCAAAGGAGGTAAGAACCAGATTTAGCAGCACGGCACAGCTGGTCTGCTGGAGAGTCTTTTTACAGAGAGAATTTTTATATTGAATCATGGGACTTCCTTCAGAGCGTGATCCACAAATCTCTTGTATGAAACATGCTTTAGACAGATGCAGGAAGGAAAATCCTGTGTATGTGGTAATATATCTGAGCTGGCCAAATAGAGAGTGGGAATTTGCAGGTAGGTGAACTTCATGGAAAGCACATTTTCAAGACAGTATTTCAAAAGTTCTTTAGATGTATAGTAATTTGGGAGCCTGAACTCTGGCTGTAGATATTTTGTATGCAACTCTGATGCTCTGAATTCCCTTTCCTGAAACAGCAAGCACCTTTTCCTTCAAAAATAATTCACGAAGTTTTAATTTCCCCCTTTTTTCCATAGTTCTGAAATGAATGCTCTGTTCAGCTCATGACATAGACTTTTCCAGTGGTGCAACAACCAATATAAAAGGTACTGAAGGAGGAAGGGCTTGTCTAGGATGAAATGGCCTGAAAGAGCTGAGGATCTGGGTGCTCATAACTATCACTGTACAGAATTGCAGTGTGCCCTTTAGTCACTGGCTAGTGACTCACCGGCTACCTTGACTTTCAAATGTGCATGTGGGCAGCTGTGAGGATTCATCCTGTGGTATTTGTATGGCATGGTGAACTCCTCAGATAAAAAGCTGTTATAAAGATGACAGCATAATTAGTAGCTACAAGTGCAGATAGATTTTACTAGTTTCTGCACGCACCTGCGGGTGTTCAGGTTTCCAGAGTGGAGCCAACATCGCTCCAGACTTCCAGGCATATCAGTTTTACTGTCAGCTGTAAGCAGAGTATTTTGAATGTCCTATTTTACTGAAATGGAAAAGTCTACTGTAATCAAAACTTACAGCAGTACTTTTCTTCCGTTATTCTTCATAACTGATAAAGTTGGGCTAATTTATGTGAGATTGTTTTCTAAAGCAGCATACAACATTGGTCTGACAAAAATGCTGGGTAGTCAGTTGTTCATATTTTATCTTCATTCTGCTGTATAATGAGGTTTTGAAGCCGATGAATTATCATAGTCGAATATTGAGAGCTTGGAATACGGAAGTGAAAATTTAGGGAAACTTATGGATCTCTGCTAGAAACAAACCTAGTGAACTAGAGATTGCTGAAAAACAGCAGGGCCCAGATCACAAATACTTGTTCATATTACAGCTGAACCTAACTTACACTTTACATTCACTTTACATCGCACTTTCTTATATGCATTTTTTTATTCAGTAGCTGAAAAATTGGAGTGGGGATTAGGGGATCCCTCCATGGTAAGAAAGAGTCTGTGTTCATGTGGCTGCCTTTGTAAATATCTTTTTCTGTAGATATCTGTTGTACACTGATGTAGATACAGATACATTCATATGTATAATTAGGGGTATAGACATTTGGTTAACTTGAAAGCTCCAAAGTGTCATTTGTCACATTTATGGTAGGAACTTTAACTGCCTTAAATACTTATTCTTTTCCAAAGTGACTTTTTTCTTTTTCCTCTACAAAAAAAATCAAAATGTACTTCATGAAACTATTGTATATGAAGCACTTATTAGCCATAATTAAATGGACAATATGAATTTACTACGTCTTTAGGACTCTGGCTTGTTCTGGTTTAGAGCAAGATGATTAATGCAAATACATATTACTTGAGATAACCATTTAGCAGCTAATTTAGCCAAATTTATTACAGCAGTTAGAGGTTTTTCATTTTAGCAGACGGAGACAAGGACATGACAAAAGCAGGAGATGTATATGAATGCACAGTGCCCTCTAGTGCACAAAGATTTATGGGATTAGTGGGAAGTGCAGAGGCGAGTCAGCGCGCCGGTAACAAAGGTACCCCGATTTTGTATAGATTAGGTTTTCTTTAAAACCATGCTGCTCCCTTCCACTGAAGGACTTGCATTTCATCCCCTTTTCCTGACACGGAAGCATCAGATGCAAGCCAAGTCCACTTCAACTTGGCAATATTTTGGTAGAAGTATTACTTTAAACATCTGTATTTTTAAGCCTTCTTGCTGTGAGCATTTAATAACACTGTTTCGCGTTACTGATTGCTTTTACTTGTTTCTCTGTTTCCTAGCATAGTTCAAACATTGGAGAGAGCTGTCACTCTTTGGCTCTAACCAAGCCATTCGGTGCCTCCCTTAGGCCTCTTTCTCAGTCTGTTGGTAGATTTACTTTGCTCTGGTAGAAAGTAAATTCTCCCAAGACTTTCCTCCCACTGGCCAGTGGAGATTTGGTTCATCTGAGAGCTGTAAATTCTGTTTGACAAGATCAAAGATACAGATGTATAAGTTCAGTGGTTGATATCGCCTGCGATAAGGAGAAATGATCAAAGCAGCAGGGGTAGAGTATCTTCCCAAACCTTTCAAATATCCAGAATCTCAAAGAGGTCTACCTAGAAGCTATGAATAAATCACATAAAAATTTGCCTCTTTTTTTTTCTTTTCTTTTTTTTACAGTTTGACAGTGAGTGCATTGAAAATGTCCACACATCAATAAGTATTCTGTGAACCAAAGAGATTTGTAGTACTTTTTACTTTTCTTCTTTCACTAGAGTTTCCAAAAACAGATTAAAATTATACTTTAAAAACTTGTAAAACATATAGTTGGTTATGCTGAACTTTGGATCCTGTTTGTCATCTCACTGGCATGCTGCATTAAATCTAAAGGAAGCCAAGTATCTTCTGCTTATACTTGTGGCATGTTGTACAATGAAGATCATTTTACCACAGTTCTAACATGCACAGTTGCTTCTGTTTTGTTTGTGTTTTTTTGCCAGTGCTGAATAAGGGTCAATGTGTAACAAAGTATTACCGCTGGATGCAGAAGAACGGAGGTTATATCTGGATACAGTCCAGTGCGACCATAGCCGTCAATGCCAAGAACGCAAGTGAGAAGAATATCATCTGGGTCAATTACCTTCTTAGGTAGGTCTTCCAGTCACTTCTCTCACTTCAACTGCTGTCTCTGTTCCTGTCTGTTGGTGAGAGTTTTAGGGAAAAAACCAATTGCCTACTGGAGAAAGTTAAGGAGAATAACTTTTCATGTGATCCACTTCAAAAACAGTGCCGTTTGGTTATATTTATTGAGACATCTGTCATGTCTCAGTACACTGGAATATTCTTGAATTATTACACTGCCTTAGTCTTCAGATAAACCCTCCACCATTTTATTGCATGCCTCCACTGCCCTGAAATATATTCAACCTGAGCTCAAATATAAAAATGATCCACACCAACTTTCAGTAGCTGTGTTATAAAAGCTGGTGTGCAGTGTTGGGCACTGGTTTATTTGGTTATTGAAAATGCATGGAAGCAAACTTCTGGAATGCTACAAAACGGTTTCTCTGAAAGGAGTCTGCCAGTTCACTCCAGAGAGAGGAATTTTCTTAGGAGAAAAGCCTTGAACTAATACATTGCTCCTGTAACCATCAGACAGTGTTCACACTGAAAAATGCAAAATAAGGGTTTCTGTTTTGTGAAAATGTTCAATAAGATTGAGGGATTTTCTGTTTCTTTCCAGAGCAGAACAAACAAACAAATAAAATTTGAAACCTTGAGATTGTCGTGAAGTGCAATTGTCATTTTCTGGCCTGTTCTCCTTTTAAGTTGCTTGTCATGGTTTGTTACATTCCCTTTGATGCCATGGGAGTTCAAAGTGATGTCTAGGGGTTAGATTGTGACTTACTATGCCAAGTCCGGCAACCCCTGAAGAGACTGTGCCTGCCTAAACTTGCATGTTGAAATACTTTTGAATCCCCTCTTGGGGAAGAGGAGGAAGCAACTCCTGGCAGGAGAGCGTTAAGGGGTACTGTGGGGAAACCTTCCACAGCAGTGGAGTGTTCATTGTGGCTTGCATGTTTCAGTCCTGCTATGATTGAGCATGCACATTTCCATATATATCATTATCCTGCTACTCTGAATTTATGCATATCCTGATACATTTGGTCTCATTTTACAAGAGTGAGGCAGAATGCAGCATTTCAAGAGGTCAGCTTAAGCCTGCCAATTCTGAACTGGAAGTATAGTTGCACTGCTCCAGTCCTAACAGGACTTCAGAATGCCCAGAAATATGCTCATATTCTAGCTGGAAAAGTGGTCCATAAGAATTATGAACAGTTGCCTCTGTCCCCTTTGCTACTTTCCAAACAATAGGTGAACATAATCCACAGAAGTCCCACAAAATTATTTTCTCTACCAACAGAATATGAATATACCTAACAAAGCAGTGTGGTCTTCCACTAGTCTTCTCCCAGAACTTGATTTTTTCTACTGCATTCCCTTCACTGGTCTGTTAGAGAAAGATTAACTTCTCCACTGAATTTGTATTTTTAATATAGATTTCTCCTAGTGCTGTAATCCATGAAAGATCCAAATGTCCAAATAATGTTTTAATGACAGATACAGGCATAATTAGGTCTACTCTTAGCAGGAGTACTGGTCTGTATACGTTTCCATGCATTAGAAAGTATGATTCAGCTGTCTGTAAAAGGATAGACTAATTACAGTGACAGGGAGGATTAATGCTGTTCTTGTTCTAGCAACTTGTTATTCACAGTGTGAAAGCCCTCAAACATCTTCTGCTTGGAGTGGGCAAACTTGAGGACTGCCCTGGGATGCAACAGAATCAAGTCACTTTGTTAGGACAAACCCATAAAGATGATAATCATAAGAATGGCATTTCAAAGTGAACTGTGTGAACTCTGAATTTTCACAGTGCACCGTAATAGGCTGAATATGGGCACACTGTCATTGTGATAGTGTGTCAGTCACCCTCAGTGCTGCCTCATATTCTTCTATGCAGGCCTGCGGATTTTCTGCTCTATCACTGGGCTGGAATTTGAACTGCATAGAAATGCTCACCTATTCTAAATGATTAAAGACTTTGTTTATTTTCAACATTCCTATGCCACTTCTGTCTAGCTATGTCTGTTCCCCTGCCTTTGCACAGATTTGGGAAAGGAACACATTTTGAAAGATACAAACCAAGAAAAAGCATAGAGTTGGAGATTTTTTTCAGTTTCTCTGGTAGCGTAGCTTTTTTACATTGCAGTCATGTTCATTGCTAACAAGTCACAGGTGAGCACCACATGAGCAGATGAAGATATGATTATAATGGGTGTGTTGACAGTTCTTTATCCCTAACATATGCATCTTAACATGCACATGTGCATCTGTCATAGAGTGGTTGCTTTTGGTTTCTTGGTGATGTGGATACATGTGTGCAGTGTTTAAAAAATATATAACTTTTTTTATCTGTTTTTTGGCAAATACTTTCGAGCAGTGGTCATTTTCTCTAGCCCTAACTGAGCACCTTCTTATTAACTTTACCTATGGCCTGCTTGATTAAAGGGTGGAAAACAGGAACATTGAGAAAAACAGGTATTGAAAGGGCTCTGGAAAAGCTGATAGAGAACATTGTTACAGAGATAACTCTAATAGACCTTGCCAGTGGGAGAGAAACAGATTGGAAAAGTTAAAAAACCCTTTCTGTCCTTCCAGGGACAGTAATGGGATCAAAATCGAGACATTTTGTTATTGGATGATTGTACAGTGTATCTTTACTGTTAGATATCACACAGTCCATGGTGTCCCACTTCAGTAAGAATGCTTTGATAGCTCTAAAACTTTACTAGAATCAAATGAGTTTTAGTACCTGGTCAATATAAGTATTTGACAGCAGTATTAAAAGAAACCTTCATAAAATCCCTGCTGTGAAGCTCTGAGGAGCTGAAAAAGTATGTTTCTGTGTTTGCTCTGCTATTCTTCCTATTTATGTTCTTTGTTCCTGAACTTTAATATGAAAAGGGGGAAAAACCGTGAAACGGCAAATCATCCAATTGTGTTTATATTTGCTGTCTCCTCTTCAGTAACCCAGAGTACAAGGACACTCCAATGGATATTGCACAACTTCCTCATCTGCCAGAAAAAACCTCAGAATCCTCGGAGACCTCTGACTCTGAATCAGACTCAAAGGACAACTCAGGTAACACACATGGTGTGCCTTTACACCCACAAAAGCTTCATATCATGAAAGCCAAGTGGCTGGCTTTCCAGTTGCTTTTACTTCTCGAGGACTGTTCCGTTATAACAAAAAAAAAAAAAATCCTGTAAAATTAAATTGAAAACCACTAGCTAGATCTTTTAATGACCTCAGCATTTCCACACTATCTCCATTTCCTCGGTATTTCTCTTCACTCTGTGCATGTGTCCTTGCCCACTTTGCACTGAACTAAATATTTGGTTTCCCAGCTAAGCTTCATGAACAGGTATTGTGCCTTGTGCAGAGGACCTGGCTTTGTAACTGTTGAATGTGATTCTAGTTCTTATCTTTCCAGAGTAGGCATACATTCTGAAGATGTCTCTACTGTCAATCTTTATGACCTTTTTCCTGTATAAATACATTTTTGAAGAGTCTCGCTAGGGGGCAGTGAAGATTGCAACATTTGAGAGTTTTCTTGGGTTAAAAGAATAATATTTTATTAGAAGGTATGGGTTCAAGCACTTGTTTCTACGCTCTTTAAGTCTGGGACTCCCGCTGTTTTTTAAAAGCTAAATGTACTTGTCAAACTCAATGTGTAAATTAGTCCTACAGATGGTCCAGTGCACAGATGGTTTACACATTCTCCATTAGTTTTAAAAGTGGTTACCTAGGCACAGGTACAGATCATCTGGCTTTGAAGGCAGCATGGTTTCCTGTGACCCAAGAACTAACAACGTTACTCTGCTGTAGTATGTGAGATATATACATATATATATATATATATAAATAAATGAGTTTTTCTCTCATGTGTGTGATGACAACAAAAAAAACATCTGGAGGAAGTGGATCACGGTGACATAAACCAAGCAAGATCAAGAAGAGGATCAGGCCTTAATGTTATATTATATGAAATGGCTGTTCTCTTTGATCCTTTGCCTTTATTTTTTCTCCTTTGACAGCTTGGTTTGATGGTTTAAGACAACATTAGACACACATATAGGCTTGTTGCCTACCATCACTGGGAATCTCTTCACCCATTCCCAGTGCTCTCTTTATGCTGTCTTGTTCCTGAATAGCCAAACAACATACATGTGGAGAACAGTTTGCATTTCCCATGTGCACTGTAAGTTTCTCCAGGTGAGAAGTGCATGTACACTCATGACTCCTAAGGCTGATGCAGAGCAAGAGAGCATTCTTCAAAGGTGGACAGGAGTGCATACCTCAGAAGGAGATGTCTGAGAGTCTGGGAAGACAGCAGAGGCAAGGGGTTGTTTCTTACAAAAGAATTAAGTAGAAGTGCCAAAGGACCTATAATTGGAACAGCATCTTGAATGAAACCAGCAAGTTCAGTTCAAGCTCTGATAAAATCACAGGTAAATTTTGTGCAGCTTTAGACTACCTCACCACAAGCCCACTCTTAACCAGCTAGAAACCATGGCCTTAAAAGGAAACATCTTTGAAAACAGAAAAAAAAAATTGTAGGAGCAATTCAGCCCTAGGTTGAACAAAAAGGTGGATGAGATTTAGGGGTTTGTGGCGGTTACTTTGCTTCTGTGGGTTTTATTTTTCAAAAGGGAGGGTCTCTCTGCTGCTGGTGACTCAAGGAAAAGTCCCACTAGCTGACCTGTGAAGTGCATTGCCCTGAATCCTCAGGCAGCTTCCCTTTCAGGCCCACCTTCTCCAGCACTTCTGGGAAAGTGTTTGGTATTGACATGTCTCCAGGAGTGACCAGTCTTTAGAGGAAAACTGGCCCTTCCCCTCTCCCTTTAAAATGAGTATATTGAAAAGGGTAGTACTTGGCTCTAATGAGTGAAGAAACATCTTTTATTTCCCAACAAAAGATTTCTGGCTGGTCTTTAAAAACAGGGTCTCCTGAAGCCTTTCATGACTCTTTCAAACATAGTATGATAATGGAGAGTATTCATTCTCAAAGCTGCTTTGGCTGTCTCAGTCCAGTGGGCTAGAGTGTTTATCTCATCTGTATTAGATAAAAAATCTAAAACACAACTAAATGAATTCAGGCAAGAAGAGTGACAGCTTCTCAGTGCTGTAGCTGAGCTATTTTCAATGGCCCTTAGGTGATTTGGATCAATCAAAAGTTTAATTCACTGCCTGAATTTTTTTCTGTTTTGTTTTTTTTTATTTGTTGCCCTTCAGGGGACTATGAGAAGACAGTCCAGCAACGCAACAAAATTGTTATAACCAGTTTATTCATTCAGATTTATATATGTATGAATTGCTGCTTCTCGCACATGGAAGGAAATCAGCAGCAATGCCACTGAAGTCAGAGACACTGTGCCGCTTTGAAAGTGGCAATGGTGAGAGGAAAATGAGATGAGAGGACTAGAATCTTCGTTAGTAAATAGTGCTACACCTGGATGCCTGCCCACTGCAGGAGAACACAGATGTGAAAGAACAATCACCAGAACACAAGGGTCATAATGGGATTGTTCACTGACTCCTCTTTGGATGACACAGCTACAATGCTGTTGTGCTCACAGTTGTCAAAATGATTCCTGTCCAGCGAGCAGACGGAAAGGCCCCCCTCAATCAAGGTGCAGGCCATAGAGCGTAGGCTTTTAGTGCATTACCAATCCTGAGTCAGAGAGATTAGAGGTGAATTAAACTCTCCCAACACAGCATTGCAAAAAATTGTGGCTCTGCAGAAGAGAATGCCTTTTGCCAAAAAAAGTTTACAGCAATCAAATCTCATTGGTAGGTAGAAATCTGGACTTGGGCTATAATATTATGTTCCTGTTGCTAATGCTTTTTTTTGCTTTCCTTTTGCTCCAGAGGACAATGAGAACTCAAAGTCAGATGAGAAAGGAAACCAGTCAGAAAACAGTGAAGACCCTGAATCCGACAGGAAAAAGTCAGGAAATCAGTCGGATAATGAAATGAACTGTAATGATGATGGGAACAGCTCCAGCAACCAGGACAGCAGGGACAGTGATGACAGCTTTGAAAACTCAGACTTCGAGAATCAAAAGGCCCCTGAGGACAGTTTTGGCACTCTCGGCTCTATGCAGATCAAGGTGGAGCGCTATGTTGAGAGTGAGTCTGACTTGCGGTTGCAGAACTGTGAATCACTGACCTCGGACAGTGCCAAGGACTCAGACAGTGCAGGGGAAGTAAATGCCCAGTCTTCCAGCAAACATCAAAAGAGAAAGAAGAGGAGAAAAAAGCAAAAGGGAGGCAGCATGACCCGGAGAAGGTTGTCAAGCACCTCAAGTCCAAACGGACTTGACTCAGCTTTGGTGGACCAGCCCCAGCTGCTCTCGTCGCCAAACAGTGCCTCAGTGCTCAAAATTAAAACAGAAATCTCAGAACCTATCAATTTTGATAATGATAGCAGTATTTGGAATTACCCACCCAACAGGGAAATCTCAAGGAATGAATCACCCTACAGTATGACCAAGCCCCCCAGCTCCGAGCACTTCCCTTCCCCCCAAGCCAGCAGTAGTTTACATGTCTCCATTCCAGACTCCGTTCTCACTCCGCCAGGGACTGAAAATACTGCCAGCCGTAAAACTCAGTTCAGCACCTCATCCAGCTCGGCCTTGGCTCCTGTGTCCTCTGACCCTTTGTCACCCCCACTTTCGGCATCTCCCCGGGACAAACACCCAGGAGGTCCCACAACTTCCAACTCTTTGTTGTACACTGGGGACCTGGAAGCCCTTCAGAGGTTACAAGCAGGCAATGTGGTGCTTCCTTTGGTTCACAGGGTAACGGGAACCCTTGCTGCGACCAGCACTGCTGCTCAGAGGGTCTACACCACTGGCACTATTCGGTATGCTCCAGCTGAAGTTACTTTAGCCATGCAGGGCAACCTCCTCCCCAATACTCACGCTGTTAACTTTGTTGATGTTAACAGCCCCAGCTTTGGGCTGGATCCTAAAACACCGATGGAAATGCTCTACCACCACGTTCACCGACTCAATATGTCGGGACCGTTCGGAAGTGCTGTGAGCGGGGCCAGTCTGACCCAAATGCCTGCAGGGAATGTGTTCACAACTGCCGAAGGACTGTTTTCCACTCTTCCATTTCCTGTCTACAGCAATGGCATTCATGCTACACAGACTCTGGAACGGAAAGAGGATTGAATTATGACCACATACTGTGTTCAGTGTTATACTCTGAGGCATAGACTATGTTTTAATTTAGACCTTTAATTCTAGCACTTTGAATTTGAGCAGGTCAGCTTATTCTCTCAATATGATGGTCCCCATTTCATTCCCTTTCTCTTTAACTTGACTTATTCTTTAATGTAAAGATTTTTTTTTATTTTTGCCTTCAGAGAGTCGAAGTACCAGTTGCCTGCCATTTTGTCTTCTTCTAAGATGTGTGTTTTTTCCTTTGCATCTTTATTAAGATGCCTTTAATATGTGTATGCCTCTGCCATAGAATACTCAGTGTTGTGGTAAAGAGATTTTAAAGTGACAACCATTGGTTTTACTTCAAAATGATCTTGATATGATCAAGATTAAAAGAGACAAGCATAAACAATGTGCCCTGTTTGACTAAGTCAAATGAAAAGGGGTTTTTGTTCCTAATTCCTTTAAAAATAGGGGATAGTATTTTAGAATTTTATGCAGAGTTTAATTCTCTTTTTATGGTTAAAATTTTCTTACTTGCACATAAAATAATTTGGGTTCTTAAAAAGTTAATTTCTGGCCTGTGACTAGAATGTTAAAAAGTTGGACTAAATGTTAATTACTGAAACTTTAACTTAATTTCTAAAACCATGGTGCTATCATTTATTAATCTGTAATGTCTTCATACAATATGCAGCTTGTGGGCTGGGTTTTTTGGAAAGAATGTGTTCCGCACAGGTTTATAGTCGGGTGCTGCAGTCTCCTTGGTTAGTTAAGACAAAAGCCCTCATTAACATTTGCTGCAGGACTTAAAATTTTTTACCTCCAAACTAACGAGCATAGCCTCACATCAAATTTAAATGGGTCAGGAAGCCTTTTTCAAAAAGTGCTTAAAAACAAAAAACTCAATTTAATTGACGCGAGGAGCAGTTTCTTAGGTGCATATTGTTTTGCTTTATTTTTTTTCTCAGTGTAACTGAGGCTAATTTTACAACGTCAAATAACACTTCGGAGTAAAAAATCAAAAACAGAAGAACTATTTAACATGTTTTGTTTTTCATTTAATATTATAGAGGGAAGGTTGTAAATTTCTTTTTGTTCTTTGATTTGGGTATTTTTTGTTGTTTTTTCCTTATTTCTAGTGTTGAAACCATTATGTTTTAAAACTAAAGAATGGGTTAATAAGCTTGAAATAGATAACTACAACTGAAAACTGCACATTAAGTAAAAGAAAGGAAATCTCCTATTTTGTCTTTGTTGCCAGAAATCACAGTGTAGTGTCAAACACTCCAAATGACTGTCAAATATAAATTCTTCTTCCACTCCATCTTTGGCAGCTGTTTGTTAAGGCATCTAATAACAGATGTGAGAACTGTAATGTGTACAATGTGTAAGTGTCCTTGGCTGTCAGTCCCATTGCAGTTTCAATGTGTGTTACTATATGCAGTATATACTAAGCTAATGTAGTTGTTTTGTCCTTTGTCTTCTCTGTGCTTTATCTCTAGTCCGGAGTGGTTAAGTCCCATTCCTGCAGTCCTAGTGAACCAGTGATTCTTGGGGGTTAGTGGTTTTTGTGTGGTGGCCTTCCTCTGTAATGTCACCTTATGCTGCTTCCACTGTCTGTATACCTTTTAATTTCTGCTGTTGCTTTGCTGTTGTGTATTCTCAGACCTCTCTCTCCTCCCCTCTCAACGCCTCTCCCCTCTCTCTTTCTCTCGCTCTCTCATTCTCTCTTCTTCACTCTCAGAGATAAAAGACTCTTAACTAGCTCAAGGTTGATGGAGCCATTTTTCCCACAGAGGAGTTCTGGGTGTTACTTACTCTTCCAGTGCACCCCACAATGCACTGCAGAGTAATGCTCAGATATATTAAGCAAATTGACGCCATGTAGCCTCAGTTGTTAACATTCCCAGAGTCCCTTGTGCTCGAACTGTAAGCGGAGGGTGCATTTCTTTGGTTTTCTCCCAGGTAGGCTGGCAGAGTAATACGTATAGCAATTACCAGTGAGATAGGAAGTGCTTTCAAAGGTAAACCAGCGTTGTTTGAAAAGGAAACTGAGCTTAGAATTGTCATGTATATTTGCTTGTGTGCAATGCTAATGTATTAACTCAGCTGTCCTTTGAATTTTTGATCACTCACTGCGGTCGAGTCAATTCCTGCAGAAGCTGTGAATTTGAGAAGTCCAAGCCACAGCGGAGCAATAGTGAGCAAGGAATTGGACACCACAAATTTAATTAATGAGCTTTTAAAGGTTCTATTGGAAGGATTTAAAAAAGGCAAGAAAGCTGATTGGGAAACTCAAAGTTTAATTTTGGAAGCTCTGCTCTAGCTATGGAACAATCAAAGGAGTGCACCTATCAGCTACAAAGAACAGCTAGACAGCTGTTGTTGTTTTGGGTTTTTTTTTATAAATGTTTCTGTGTTGTGTCAAAATGATTTCTGGTGATTTAAACTAACAGATAATCACAGCTGCTGTCTAAATCCATAGTGTTTAAAATTACAAAATGAAAAAAAAACTTCATTACCTGTGAAGACTGTGTCTGTGTTTTTAACTATTTCTTGTACAAATATATGAAATCTTTTATGAGGAGACTGGTGCCAAGTAGCTGAATAATGGGGAAAGGGATTCTGTTCGTATAAATCTTAGCAGTGTTACCAACTCTACAACATAAAAAAAAAATTAAAATGTTAAAAAGTGACAGCTATGGTACATTTATTTTGTGTTAAGCTAACCGAATCTAACTTCTTGAGTGCCTGGCTTATTTGAAACATTTTTTTCATTGATCATTGATAATGCTGCAAATCAGAAATGTACATACTTCATTTACAACAGGGTTCTTTTTATACTTTTGTAGATTCTCATACATGTCATACATGGTTGTCTTTATGTAACTTAATTTTTTTTCATCCCGCAGGTGCCATTTTCATAATAAACTTCTCTTGGATTTGTTACTATCTGGCATCATTTCTTTTACATATAACCATCCTGACTAATGACTGCTGGTAGTATTTGTTTGAGCAGGTATTATTTCAATTGTTTTGTTTAAAAAAAAAAACCAACAAAAAAATAACCAAAGATCAAAGAGGATAAAGCTAGATTTTATTAACGCTTACAAAATGAAGACAAGAAGCTGTCAAGATGTAGGTTAAGAATGCTAATCCAAATACTACAACAAACTTGCCACCATCCTAAATTCTCAGCTACCCCAACTCATTGTCATATTGAGCATTTTTATGCACATTATCAAAGCTGAATAATGGACCTGCAACATTAACCACTATGGAAAGTATGCATTTTTTCTTGATTAATGCACACTGGAAGAGGTCAGCTTTTGTACATTAATCATTTAAAATGCACTTTATATTTTCATTTTTGTGCTCTACAATGTTACAGTTAAACTCTTCAATCACATTCTATCCTACCTAGCCTGCTGATTCTTTTCAATGTGTACGTTCTTTCCCCAGACGGGCAACGTGCTAGTTGTTGGTGTCGTGTGGCTAGACTTTCTGCCTTACAAGCTGAGGACAGAAGCATTCACCAGTGTAGAAAAGACAAGGCAAAAGACCTTGACCTCATAACCGAAGGGGGGAAAAAAAGTCAAATACAGTTTGGATTATGCATTCACACACAGTGGTTGACCCTAAAGAGGTAACAGCCACCAGTGATTATGCCCGTTCTGAAGTTCTGAAAAGTTCTGAAAGAAAGCCCAGAGCAGGTGTGCTTGGTTTCTGCTGTGGAGAAGCAGGGAGAAGCTCTGCCACAGGATATGCCACACTGGGTACCCGTCACTGCGTGCCAGTGGTGGCTGCTGTGCGGGGGCTGCGTCGGGGCAGGGCTGGGGAGCAGGAGCCTTCCCACCCATCGCTTACACGGGCTCTGCCTGACTCCTTCATTCCCTGGTCTTCTTTATGGTGCCTCCCCCACCTGCAACAAAGAAAAACTGTCCAGGTTCCATATTTTCTTTTGGTTTTGATGGGTATGCAGTTTCTAAGAACACAAATTGGGGCATGTAAAATCAAGACGGTGCTGCCCATAGCCAGAATCTATAATCAAGTTATCTTTTCACCTCTATATGTAAAATATCAGGCTAGTCATTCTGGATAAGATTTTGGTTGCTGTACTAATGCCGAGTAAAACTGTCTACTCAGTTGCACCATTTTCAGCACACCTTTTTCGAGCAAAGGATACACTCAGCTGAAGTAAGAGCATGTGAGTCTGGCTTGCTGGGCTGATAAAAAAATGACAAAAAATGTATGCACAGTTATAGCTCAGTGAGCCAGCCCCATGGCTCAAAAGCCTGAAGTCTGGCTCTCTGAGTTTCCGAGCAGTTCAGGATTCCCACTTCCCAGGCTCCAAGCACTGACTTTGATATGCCTCCAACTTGCAGGGGGTAGAAAGGAGCAGAGGTTAGCAGTGCTGCTTTCAGCTCTGCTCGCGTGTTCCGGTTGGCAATGCATCTTGTTTATGAGGTAGCTAAGGGTACGGATGCCAATCGAGAGGAAGACAGAATTTAAATGGAGGTTGAAAGAATGGCCAGAATAAAGCTTATTGGAAGAATAACATGCTTGTTCCAAATAAATGTTCACCAACATTATAAAGCCACTAATTCCAAGAAGGGGCTTGAGGAGGGCATTTCTGAGTTGTTCTAAAGGCTTTTTAAATCTCAGCCATAGTACCTATACATTGCAGCAGAGCACGGAGTTGATGGTCAGAACGAATAAACTGCTCTAAGGCTCCCAGTTGGACGAGAAAGTTTGTGCATCAAAGAAAATGACGGGAAAGCTGTTTCATGAGGTGTTTTTATAGCAATGCTGTTGCATTGATTTAGCTCTGGGATATCAATTTCGTATATTATTTGTAGCAACTTTAAGAAACAAAACCAACTGCTTGAAAGGGTTGAATCCTTTGAAAAGGGTTCTTTGGGGTTGGCCTAGTTGCTATTTTTATAATGTTTGGAGGAAAAACTGTTTGCCATGCCGGAAGCTGGGCAAACTTTGTCAAGTCATTTCATCAAAGCACATTTTGTAAAGCAACTAATCTCGGTAACTGCCATCTCTGGAAAGTTTGTTCCTGAACCACTTGTTTTGTGAAATGGTATATGCAGGTACCTAAAAGCCACCTGAAGGGTGCAAGGTGAAAGGGGCTCTACCGAAGCATCATGACTGTGAAAAGTTACAGTGACAGACAAAGGTTTCAGGATTACTTAGATAACCAGCTCTGACAGCTTGCACTGGTGCTGTTGCAAGGTGGTCATGTCACTGGAGTAACTGTGATGCCCCTGACAGCACATTTATTGTTCTGATTCTAGGAACTGCATTAGCTTAAATGTGTCAGTGCTTTCAGAGCTATTTGCATAGTATCCTTCCTTCTTGCCACTGTAATTTCTTTATTTTCATTTTAGGGCTGGGGGAGGAGGGTGGAGAGGCTGGATGTGCATTGTCAATTAATTTAATGAACTGTCATCTATCCAGCAAGTTTACCGAGGAGCCCACAGAAATGTGAACAAATGGGATCTCATCAGAGCCACAGATGCTCAGGTAAGATCAAACCATTTACAAAATATGCACATGCATGCACACAGACACACAAATATGCTGCCTATGAAAGCCGGTTGGGCTTTCAGACTGGGCAGGGTAGTACCTGTGTACATACACATAATAAAGTTCCTTTCTTCTCCTCTTCCACCTATTCCTTCATCCTTTCATCAGAAAGATTGGGTACTGGAAGCTGTTTTCATAAAACATATCCAATCATATCAACACTTCTTTTCACCAAATCAAAGAGGATCTTTCCGAAGGCAATAGGACTCGAGATAAACCAAGGATGCAGAGTTCTGTTTTAATTGACCCAGATCAGGATGGGAATTCTCCACCACAGTTTTGTTCAGAATCCTGAATTCAGTAGGATAGAGTGGAAGAACAGCTTTTATTTCCATTAGCACCATGAGGTGGGTCTTTTGGCAAAACAAAAGCCCAGAGTAGTTCAGAATTGTTTCAAATAAATAACCACATTTCTGGAAG